AGCAGTGCAAGTGCAGGGAGATGTATCGGTTTCTAGCGGTGTTTATATAGTGAGGGGTTAGAAATGACAATGTGAAAAGCCGCTATTCTGCAGATTAGCCCAGGCGTTTATCCAGAAAGAAATGTTTCCAATTGCTACCGTGGTTGTGTGTAAGACTGAAATGCTGAAAGAGAACTGTGTAACCCTCCCAGGCCGAGTCTGAGCGAGACCTGGCATTGTCCTTCTGAACACTTCTGCAACCTGAACCAAAAACCTGCGGTGGGAATGTAGACTTACCGTGTAGCTGTGGAAGAAAACTTCAATCGTGTCATTTCTCTCGGTCTTCAGAGCAGTCAACATGATTTCGATGTAGGTTTTAGATTATGTATATATAAATCTGATTGAAGTACCAACAGCAAACCATAAATAAAATGTGGACTTAACTGAAGAATGGGCTAGTGGAGGCCTCTTGTGTTGAATTTATTAAAATACCATGTAACAAAGTTGTTGTTGGAAGACTCGCTGTGACGAAGACAGGGAAATTAAACTGGGTTGTCCTCAGTTCAGGAAAGGAGCCAGGTTCACTGTTGCCTTTGAATCCATTATAGCACATAAGGACTGATTTGACTGCACTGTAGTTGCTGGAGAAGACTTGGCTGCTTGGGAACATTCCCAGGGGTCACTCCACCTTTGTGCCTGCTGAGGGCTGATGGCTCCTGTAAAGTGCACTTGCCTCTCCTTGGTGCCAAGTGATTATTCCAGGGATTGGTGCCCTTTCACATTCCAGGTGCCAATGACCCGTTTGTTTTGCTCCACCAGAGCAAGGGCCATAACATAAAAGGACTTTGAAGTGGATGTAGTGGAGAACTGATGGAAACCTCTGGTTTACTGTGTTTGCTTTTAGCGCTGGTTTTGAAGACGTGTAACAATGGCAAACTACTGGGAATTTGTAGTACTGACACCAAATAACAAACTACTTCAGAGATCATGGAAGCAGGTAACACCTGAGTTTATCTTAGGTCTGTTCAGTCGATGTCACCCATCTGAGTGGATGGATGTGCGTGTGAATTCTCTGTATAGCGACATGTTAGCAAAAATAAGAATTCGAGATAAATTTTGGACCTATCCCACTAGATTATTATGGGCTGGGAGACTTGTTATGAACAGGGAGAAGAAAGCTTTTGATGAAGACAGCAAGAACAAAGCAGCTCACACAGATGTGTTCTGTTCTCATGTTTCTCTCTGAGAATTCATTAATGCCACAGGACAAAAGAAAACAAAAAAAGGTATTTTAAATTTAATTCCCACAGAGACTGTGAAATACGTGATGGTTTCTCAATCACCTGACTCCTTGAAGCCTTTCCAAATGTAGGCTCCTATGGTTTCTATGTCAGCTGAAAATATGACCCAAAGCATTTCTCTTGGGTTTGGTACTCGGTTACCTGGTAACTTCAACGCAAGTGTCGATGTTATAACTGTTCCTGAGGCTTGTTTCCCTCTCTTCTTTTTGCAAAAACTCTCTGGATGGGTTTGCTCTGACCTTGTTCTACCTTATGCAGTTTCCTCACATCTCTCTTCGTACTTCCTCCCTCCCTGCACCAGTGCATGGCAGGCTGTGCATCCTCTGCAGGCGGGCAGTCAGGTTGTGGGTGTCCTGGTGGGCCTGGGGAGTGGCAGCAAGGAGAGCTCCGGAGGGGTGAGCCTCAGCCCTGCCCACCTCTGTGTGAAGCCTGGCAGCCCGTGCACTCCAGTGACTGATGTTAAGTTCAATCCCCACTTCATTTCCATTCAGTAATTCCACAGATCCTCCCAGGCTGAAGTAAGCTCATTAGTAACTCAGTGATGTATTTTTATATTTGGGTTTTTATTATTCCTCCCTTGTCACGTTATTCTCTAACATAGAGATAACATGACATAATTACTTCCCTATTGCATAACCTACTGGAGTTCACCCTCTTGTCTACAGCTTGTCAGTTCATTGTAATTTTTCGTTTTAGGTGGGTTTCTTTAGAGCTGGTTTTTTAATCATTCACTTTAATTCCCTCTTCCCTCCCATTTACTTTCATGAATTTTTAGCACCCGTGGTGCTAGGACTGGGGAGCACTTTGCCCTGGAGAATGTCTTGTGCTGTGGTTGCTTGTTAAGATCACTGTGGCTTTTTTAACGTTAAGTTACGTGTTGCTGGGCTGAAAGTCTCTGGAGTGATTTCTCCTCTGAATTAAGTTCTGGTATTGCTCTTCTGTATTTTGTCCTGTCAGATCGTTTGGCAGCCTGGCTGTAGGCACCCACTGTTTCACTGAGGAGCTGCTCCTTTGGGCCTTTCCATCGTGTACCAAGGGGATTGGCTCAACACCATCGGGGCTGAGGACTCCCATGGATGTCAATGGCCTTTGTGCCACCATCAGTGTGCTCGTGGTGCGGTCTCACCAGCGTGGGGGTTCCTGCAGCCTAATGCTTGCAATTGTGAATCCTGCTCTGCATGTACACACGCACTCGTGGGCTCCCCGAAATTTTTCCAAGCACCGTCTCATGTAAAATTCCACCTCTGGCTTTATCTGCTCCTCCAGGTCAGTTTGTCTGGATAGTTCTATCCTGCTCTGAAATGGAATGTGCGTTGCCCCTGGCACCATGTTATTACCTATTTGTGCCCTTAAATCTTTGGTGTGTGGACAGATGGGCACCCTCGGCTGACTGGCATGAACTCGCTGCTGAGCAGTTTGGGGGTGACATTTGGAACGTGCTCTAGGATTTTTCACAATACGCTTTCAGGTAAGTCTTTCCAAAGGGGAGGTTAGAATGTGTTGTGCACATCGATGCCTATGGGATGCAAATGTGAAAGGTAAGTAAGTCTCCAATGTGTAGTAAACTTCGTAACAAGAGACGGTACTTTGGTAATCATTACTTGCAACGTGACCAATTGTACCTTCTTTTGGTGAAAGCTTCAAAATCCTCACTACTGTATGAATTTTAACACTTTAGACATTATGTCCTGTGTATTTGGAAGTGTTTGTAGCTGCACTCAGCACTGTAATATGGTCTTTCTTTACCTGTGTAATTACTCCATAGCTATAGATTGCACACTGCTACTCCAGCTGTTGGCTGTGAACAGTCAGAGCCTGGGATCACCAGCAAAGGGGGCAAGCACTGTCAGTAAGAATCTCCTCCTTCCCTAGGAAGTGTATGAGGCATCTAACCCAAGCGCCGCTGGAAACCATGGTTTCAGCAAGTCCTTTAGGTGCATTTAATACAAATTATTCTGCAAGTTCTTTGTACCAACAGCCTGAAAGTACAGCTCTCATGGGTGGAAACGTATCGTGAAATGGCTTAACGTGGCTCTCTCTGAGGTAGTCATTTGAACATTAAACACTTTAACTGTTCTTCTTCTGATATTGTTTGGGAGGAGTGTTACATTTAGATCCATGTTGGGAGAACGCAGGCATACAAGCAAGAGCTTCTGCTGTCATGGCAAAAACATGAGATCATTTCACTCACCTTGGTGGTGCTGGGGGTATATATAAACAGAAGCAACACTTGCCATTGCATTTTAGATTTTTCCCAACTGTGACCTGGTGCCCTTATTCTTCAAGGTGTGTGGCTCTGATTTTTTAATCCCCTTATCCTCCCTAGGCATGCATAGCCAGCTATGTTACTGTGGGTGGATAAAGGTAGCTTTTTTTCTTGCTTTGCATTCCACTGGATTCCTATCAGTACAAGGTCATACTCGTATGTGGAGGTCTGGCACCAGTGTTTTGGGATCAGAGGTATTGTTTTGATTCTGTATGTGAACATGAGCTACCTTGCACCTCAAGAGAATCTTCTGCTCTGAAGAGCAAATAGGCTTTTGCATTCCATCTACATTGTGTCACATATTCACTGCTTTACTGTTTGGGAACATCTAGCCAGTAGAGGAATCCATGTCTGTTCCTGTAGCACTTCCACCTCTGCAGGAGTTAATCACAGACCAAAGGATACCTCTAAAGGGTCTGCAACTCAGCACTGCGGATCTGGACCTGACTACTTTGCCACAGGCCTGCAACAGGGATAGTACTGTCTGAAGTCAAGACAGCAGGTTAGGACTGGGCCCTGCTGGAGCTGCAGCAGGCAGGGAGCAGGTTTACCTCTGGCTGCCCATTTCTTTGCTGCAGCAGGTACACATCGGCCAGGGAGTCTCAGAGACCTGGGTACCCCTAACACAGGGAGGGAGGTGGTGTCACCCCGGGCATACACCCAGGCTTCTGCAGTGCCAGTTTTAGCTGAGCCATGAAGAACACTGCTCCCGCAGTGCAAAGCAGAACTGCCCTTACGTGTTTTATCACAGTACCTAGGAATATGCAGTCATGAAAAGCTGGACCCCACTCTGCCGAATGGCCTGCAAAGGAGAGGATTTTGAAGCTGTTCCCCTTTTCCAAATACTGATGAGTAAAGGTGGCAGGCTGTGTGACGCTTCATGGTTCTGAGTTTGTTTTTAGAGGGAAGTACCTTTGATTCAGTTGAAGCTTGATGTTTCCCAGAGGAGCCCCAAACTTGACAGGAACAGTAGCTGAAACATACCCCCTGTAAGTTCTACAACTCTCACAGGCCCTCCCTCCAAAGAAACAGCAGATAGAAATGGAAAACTATTATGTTAGTCTAGGAACTTGGAAAACTGAGCTCCCTTCAACAATTTCAGCCAGACTCTCAAGTTAAACCTGGTAACCAAGGGATTACTTGATCAGTCTGTAATGCTTTGTCAGGCCTAAGCACTGACATAACTAGGCCAGTGTTAACATCACACTTGGGCACAAGAGCATCTACAGTGTTATTCCAGCCTGTAGCACCAGCTCACAGACTGAAGTGCTGGCTGAAAGAATTCCTGCTCTTCAAGGTTGGGAAAAAAACCAAAACCAAAACCAACCTTACTTCTACTCACCACTTCCCCTGCTGAGCAACTATGCCTTCTTTGGGTGAATGGACTCAAACCTTCAAAATCCCTAATTTAGCCACACTTCAGTATCAGGCAACTTGAACTTCACACAAGCTATGTTTTAAGAATTTATTCTGTAAACTCCACAGTGGGTCTTTAGTTCTCCTTTTCCTGCACAGTCTTTGTTCCACGCAGCCTACCGGTACGGCGGGCAGCAATGAGACCAACTTTGCGCCCAGCAGGAGCATCTCTCCTGATGGTTGAGGGCTTGCCAATGTGCTGATGGTTACCACCACCAAAGGGATGTTCTACAGGCTGTGGAAAAGGAAAGCAAGTTGTCAGTGTAATTAACAGAAACAAGTAATGATGCATAAAAGCAAGACTGATTTAAGGGAACAAAAAAGCTTTCAGGTATATGGCAGGCTGCTTCACATAGCAAACAAATTCTTTCTAAACCATAAGAAAGGGAAGTGAAAATTCTAATGGAGAATGGACTCACATTCATGGCCACACCACGGACACGTGGCCAGCAGTTTCTCTTCGCCTTGTATTTGTGATAGGCACGGCCAGCCTTCAGGATGGGCTTGTCAATACGGCCTCCACCAGCAACAATCCCTGGAAAAAAGCCATATAGGAACAGTTACACACAAACACAACAGACAGGAATGCAAAAAAGTGTTTTAAGGACAAGACTAACTCCTAATAATAGCCAAGTTCTAAGAATGAGCTTCTAAATCTCAGATCATGCTACTATGTGCTGCCAGTTTCTTTATTTAAATGCTGTCATAAACCCAAAGTGGTAAATATCAAACAATCCCAACTGTGTATTTGAACTCTTATTTTCCAGCCAATATTACCAGGGAGATGGGACTCAAGCCGCCAGCCACACATCCAGTGCTCTGCAAGGGGACACACACCTTAATCACCGTGTCTCAATCCATACACACAGGCTAGAGTTTAACACTTTGAGGCCTTACCAGTTTTCCTGCTGGAATTACTTGGCTAATGGTTACAACAGTTTTCCAACTACAGAAAGTGTGACTGAAAGAATTCAGGGGACTTTCAAGAACTTTAATACCTAGTTATTTCATGGTTTATTTAGTCAATTTTACTAGAGTAATAGGCCATAGATTTGGTGTCTTCTGATAAGAGGCAAGCACATGTCATTTGCTGGCTGAGCACAGCAGCCATCTCAGCTGTCAGTGAAGTGTACAACAAACCTGGTAAGACCTCTGCTTCTTGACAATGGTATTTTACTTCCTTGCCAGATCTTCCAGAACACTCCGCCCAACTGACAACACCCTCCAGTACCACCTCCCCACAGGCCCAGTGTATCAAAAGCAGGAAACCATCAGCACCACTTTCTGTAGAGTTCTTCCCTAAGGACTGGGGATTTCACAGGCTGAGCAGCTCCATTACAGCTTGAGGACAATGGGCATCTACTTTTCTGTCCTCTCACTTAGTCAAACCATCTCCAAGTTTAAGTTACCATTAACCAAAAGTAATGCACGCATTAAGATAGAAGTTAGGCACCTGTGCACAATCCTGGTCCAGCCTGTAAGTGATGCTATTTTCAAGACAGTATTAGAACCTGGGGCCCTGTTTCAAGGCTTGCTTAACTGTACGTCAACTAAGACACAAGTTTATAGTTTTCACTCATTACCAACAACAGCTCTGTTTGCAGAAGAAATCACTTTCTTGGAGCCAGAAGGCAGCTTCACTCTCGTTTTCTTTGTTTCTGGGTTATGAGAGATAACGGTGGCGTAGTTTCCAGAAGCACGGGCCAGCTTTCCACGGTCACCAGGTTTCTCCTCAAGGCAGCACACGATGGTCCCTTCTGGCATAGTGCCAACAGGCAGGACATTGCCAATGTTCAGCTGAGCTGCAAAGAGCAATTGGAGCATTCACAGCCTCACTCAGGCTCCTCTACTTGAATTACAATTCTATCTAACATGGGCAACATGCATTGAAGGGCACTGCACCAACACTTCAGCAGTGACAGGCAGATGCGCTTTTTGTTGTCTGACCTGAAACCCAAGTCCCACCCTCGGTGGGGCAGAAAGGCAGGCAACACGGGAGTCTCGGTAAAACCACCCAAAAACTTGGCAAAGACTGCAATTAGGTTTGTCAAAACATGCTGCATGAGGAGATGGCAATCCCCAAGAAGGGTATATAGGTCTGCTTAAAGCTAGTGGAAGCAGCTGCCGTGTCAGGGCCCATGACTGCACTCGGCCATCCCGGTTCAGACAACATCTCTTTCAGCATTCTGAAAGTGCTCAAGCAACACACACGCTCCTTCCACCTTAACTGACCTTTCTTGCCACAGTACACGAACTGCCCGGTGTGAATACCCTCTGCAGCAATGAACAGCTCTGTCCTCTTCTTAAACCGGTACGGGTCACGGAAGGCAATCTTGGCCAGGGGAGCGCCTCGGCCAGGATCATGGATGATGTCCTGTTAGAACACAAGTGTGCTTCAGAACAGGGGACAGCGTTTGTCATGGGTTCTGTAAAAATCAAAGAACTAGGAAAACTGGAGAAGATTACTACTGAGGTGTTTCTCATCAGGATCCCCATCCTTGGGGGGAATCTGGATTTCTCCTGATGTGAATGAGTTGAAGACTGATATTTGTAAGAATACAAGTATCTGTACCAGAAAATAATGACTCTGGTCCAGCATGCTGCTCGAAACTAAGTGTGTCTGAACTGGTTTATTCCTGACATTCTGCAGGCAACCGATCTCCCCTTAGAATAAATCCACTTTCACTAGTTAGAATCACAGAATGATCCGGGTTGGAAAAGACCTTAAGATCATCTAGTTCTAACCCCCTGCCATGGGCAGGGACACCTCACGCTAAACCATGTCGCCCAAGGCTCTGTCCAACCTGGCCTTGAACACTGCCAGGGCTGGAGCATTTACCACTTCTCTGGGCAACCTGTTCCAGTGCCTCACCACCCTCACAATGAAGAACTTCTTCCTTATATCTAACTTGAACTTCCCAACACTAGTTGCCCAACCAACTTTGGGGAGAGACAAAGCTGGACACCAGCAACAATTTCTCCAAGTGTTTTCCTAGAATGGAAGGGTTTCTCACCTTCTGGTATTAAGTGCACTGGAGTTACCCAAACCTCAAAATGAGGGAGCACAGGCTGTTTCTTTTTCTCTAGGAAAAACATGTCAATTCTGATCCTTAATTACACCAACATTCCAAAACACAACCATGTATTTAGACCACAGCCAAGCGATTAAAGCTTTTCGCAATACATCTGTTTTCTAGGAAAGCACAGATGTTGCTGATGCCCACTCTTAGTGGGGGTTTTTCTGCTGTTTTCAACCCTGCTGAGCAATCCAACCCCCTTTCCCCTTCCCCCCCATGTATCACTTACCTACAAATTTACCTACTTTTTATCATAAAACTCAATTACAGTGAGCATGAAGGAAGTTCCTTTTCCAGCCTGAAAATGACCCTGCTCTGACAGGCTGAATTGAGAGCTTGATGTTCAGAGCATCTAGCTAGGTACCCAATGGTACTGTTTGCAGTTTAAGTCACTGACACCCAAAAAATACCTACAGCACACCTGAAATACTGCACTATATCCCAAATAAAAGTCATGCCTTGCCCTCACTGCTTAGAACTAAAATGATGGATACTACTTAGCGTTAATAAAGATTGATTCTGTTAAAGATGAAACTGACTACGTGGAAAACTCCCCACTTATCTTTCATGAGATACAGGGAGTTCTCAGGCAATATAAAAGCATACTGATATTCCTGCATTAGCAAAGCTCTAACACAGGACCATATGCTGCCTATGCACTGCCATATTTAAATGCTGTCATAAACCCGAAGCAACTTAACTTTTCAAAGAACTCATTTAACAACACAAGAGAAGCCCCAACGAGGAGCAACCAAACGGCTTTCAGCACAGCTGACAGGACTTCAGATCCCCTGCACACAGCATAGAACGATGCTCACCCCAGCGCCCCACGCACCTGACAAGGCTGTTGAGGGT